TATGCTAGAAAGTTGGGTTATATTTTTTGAAAAATAAATTGTACTAATGTTATTACATATAATAGGGATTTTAGCTACAGAAAGTACAAAGTCAAGGATTTGTTTCTTTATCCATAAGACTTGGGCAACAAAGCTTTCTATAACTATATATTCTGCTTCAATGGAGAATAAGGCTACAAAATTTTATTTTTCTACTATACAAGGAAACCATAAATTGTCCTATGAATTGGAGATTCCAAATATGTTTTTCTTGTCTACTATACACCCAAGAAACTCTTAATATGAATATCCTACAATATCAAGGTGATGTTATGCCTTGGATACTAGATGCCTAAGTTTTTGGTGTCTACCTAATATCTAAGAATTCTCTTCACAGTAGTCATACGAGATTTTTTAGCATCAACCTACAATATATCACATAAACAAACACTATATATGATATATGATCTTCTAGCAATCAAGTAAAGAACTGATCCTATTATTCCTCAATAATTTTTCTAGTCAACTAACTTTCCATTTATATCTTTATCTAATTGGATGTTTGAGCTCATTAGTGTATTTATACTCTTAGAACCTCCATATCAAAAATTTTAAATATCTCCTTAATGTATTTTATTTTAATAAGATATCATCTTCTCTTTGCTTTATATTGAATCCAAGAAAATAGGTCAGCTTGCTTTTCATACTCATTTCAAATTTTTACTCATAGTTGATGTATTGCATAGATTTTTATTGGTAAATCCAAAACGTAAGTCATTAATACAATTTTGAACTATGAGTATGTATTCTCCAACTTTCTTAAGAAAAACGGTGGTGTAACACTACCCTTAACAAATGATTTATCTAAAAAAATTGCTAAATTTTTTATACCATTCCTAGGTACTTATTTCAACCCATATAATACTTTCTTCAATTTATAAACATGGTTTTTGAATGAAGTGTTCTCAAATCCCAAGGGTTATTCTATACAAACATCTTATTTGATAATTCCATTTGGCAATGCACTCTGGACATCCATTTGATACAATTTTAGGCCTTTAAACATGCAAATGCTAATATGAATCTAATGGCTTCTAACCTAGTTAAAAGAGAAAAAGTCTCCTTAAAATTAATACTCTTTATTTGATTATACTCTTAGCTACTAATCTAGCTTTATTTCAAATCACCGACCGAGTGTCATTCAACTTATTCTTATACACCCCTTTGATTTCAACTATACCTTAATCTTTGGGTCTACTAACAAACTCCGTTCATCATTCCTAATAAATTGTTTCAATTCTTCTTGCATGGCTAAGATCCAAAACTCATCATTCAAGGCTTGATCTATACTAGTTGGTTCTAGCATGAAAATGAATATAGTATGAATGACTTCTTTCCTAAGACCTGACATGGTTCTATCTCTTATAAATGACTAAAAGAATATTTTCAATCTCTAAGACAAGGATCATGGGGTTCTTCCCTATTTCCAAGGTTAATACATTCAAATGCATTGATAATCCCAACCTCGTCATCATCTATCATAAGCTCAAAAGATCTATCTATCTCATCAAATATCAGGTGGGTGAATTCCTCTACAATTAAGGTTCTTTTTTGAAGACCTTATATGTTTTAGCTACTGAGAAATAATCTAAGAATACGTCTTCATCTACCTTAGCATCAATTTTTCTTAAATGATATTTACCATATCTAAAGCACAAAGAACTTATAACCAAAAGCATACAAATGGGATAACTTTGGTTTCCCACCCTTTAGTAGTTCATAAGATATCTTATTTAGCTTAGACATAATGTTCACCTGATTTAACATATAATAAGAAGTATTCACTGCCTTTTCCCAAACTATCTAGGTAGGTTATACTCTTCCAACATTGCCTTAACTACCTCTACTAATTTATTATTCTTTTTTTTCAACTATGTTATTTTGCAGTGGGATCATATGGGAAGAAAAATTGCGAAGAATCCTAGATTCCTTAAAAAATAATTTAAATCTTTCATTATCAAACTCTCCAAATTGATCACAATAAATTGTATATTAAACAACACAACTTTCTTTGAGCCTAAATGGAGAAGATTTTAAACTCATAAAATAACTCACTCTTGTGTGCTAAGAATCTAACCCATATGAATCTAGAGTAATCATCTACTATCAAAAAACCAAAACTCCTACCACCTAAACTAGCTAAACTTATAAGTCCAAATAAGTCCATATGAAGAATGACTAGTTTTCTAGTGGTGATGATCTCCTTATAGAATGGAATGAAGATCTACTCTAACTTTCTAACTAACATTCATCAATCAGATGATCCTTAGTGAACTCTCTAACTTGGGAATGACTCTAAATAGATCCTATCGAGTTATCTTTCTAAGTATATTCATGCTAGCATGACATAGCTACCTATACAATAGCCAAGTCTCATTTAAAATAAGTTTAAGGAAAAAGATATTATCATAAGTATTAATACAATTCAAGTCAAGCATGCAAAGATTATTAACACTTTTACCTTCTAAAATAATTTTACTATTCACAGTAATAAGAAAATTTTTAAAAAACAATTTAAGGTTAAAGTCCTTATAACACATTTGACTTATGCTAACTAGATTATGTTTTAAGCCCTCCATTAAGATCACATTTTTTATAATGAAACTTTTGATTTACCAACCCAAAGTTACCACTTTATAGTGATATTTTCTCTCAAGTTTACCTAGCTCCGCTCTTAGCCTCCAACGTGATAAAATGCATTAAATATCTCATTATATTTCTTGAGTAGCAATTGTTAAGGTACCACATGCTCTCACTGGACCTCATGTGAGAGCATCCCTACAAAGTGAATTACAGGTTAGTTTTGAGAACCCAAGTGAGTTTGGGTCCCACCTTACGCTTGGATGTATGAATAGTATACATGCTATGTTGCGATGATAAAACTTTGGCAAACTAAGTGTATTCTAAAGTGTGAAGTGCAAGTGCATGTAATGTGTCCTAACATGACACAAGAGTAATACCTACCCCCTAGAAATAGGATTACTAATTTATATGGGTTAATGCCTCTTTCTAAAGATATGGGATGCATGTTGTGGCCTAGGCTATGAAGTTAGTGAATGTATAGGCCTATGTGAATTTTTTTTAAGTGCATTTATTTTTTTATTAAATATTTATTTGCACTTTTGTAAGTTGTAACTTCAAACTTTAATGCATACTCACTACTACCTAGTTTTAGTACAAGTGTCTCTAGCTCCTTGAATGTTTTGTCTAACAGAATATGCTCATCCTTCAAAGAATCATGTGATTCTATTAATTAAATATGTTTCTTATTTAATTCATCAAATTCCTCCAATAGAGATGCGTGTTCCTTATCTAATGTTGTATGCAAAACTTCAAAGATAAATGCTCTTTAACTAAAATATCATGCTCTTCTTTTAAATCATTTTTTTTAAATTTATATGCTATTTTTTTAACATTTTATATGAATCATATATTTGCTCAAAAATAGAAAATAATTCATCATAGAACAACTCGTTTACCTCATACTGATCAGAGATCTAAATATTATCATTTATTATTAAGTACAAATTCGTTACCTCCTCTTCTAGTTCTAGTTCTGATTATGAGGAAACGAAAGCTGAGTCTATCCCAAAATTATTTTGCATCCTCTACTTGCCCTTTTTGGAGTTAAACTTTTCTTCACCCTTTTCCTTAGTAGGGTGGCTCTTTAGATTGGGACAGTCGGATCTTAAATATCCGGGCTTCTTACACTTAAAATATATAGTGTCAGTTGAAACCTTATTAAATTTACCTCATTTACCTTTATTCCCTTTGAGATAGCGCTTATGTTTCCACTTCAGAAAGCTCTTAAATTGATGAATCATCAATATTATTTCCTCATTTCTATCAGGTCCAAAATTAGTGTTATTTGTGTCCTCGACCTTCAGTGCCACTATTCTCTCCTTTTTCCTATCATTTGCTTATAGAAGTATTTGGCTCATATTTTGCTCATAAGTAATTAGAGAGCTTAATAAGTTGTCAATAGAATACACATTTAAATTTTTTAAATCAAAAATAGCAGTGACTTTGGTATCAAAATATCATGTAAGTAATGTAGTATCTTGTTTATTTTTTCAAAATTTGAAAGTTCTCCACCTAAAGCATACAAGAAAGAGACTATCTTAGTAAACATAGTATACATATCAGATCTAATTTCACTAGCTTTAATGGGAAAGAGTTCAGATACATGCAACATTAAGTTTAAACAGGATTTTTTTTTTTATTCATTGGTGCCTCATAAATAATGCACAACCTATAACAAATTTCATTGACATAGGTGTAGGTTGATACACAGATTTAATTTTAATATTTTAAGACACACAAAAGATCAAACACTTCATATTTAGTTGTGCTAAATTCCTATCTTCCATACTCCATTCACTAAACAAGATTTATATTTTTAATCCATTCACAATGCGAGAAAGAAACATAATAATAAACTTGTATCATGTGCTACATTTGAAAGTCATTTAATTGTAATAAAGTAGACATACAAATTTTTCAAAAATCAAATGGGATATTCTCAAAAATAGATAGACGGGTAATTTAATACCTTTCAAGAGTACTTACATTTAAAAAATGTATCATTGGATATTTCTCTATATTTTTAAACCGTAATTTAAGAGAACCCTCGCAGATACCAATTGAAAGTTCAATGGATGGTTGTGAAATCATTTGAACTACGGAATGACACACGAAGAGGGGGTAGAATTAATGTTTTAAAAATCTTTTTCAAAAATTTCATTTGAAATTTAAACAACCAAATTCAAACCTTAAAATGCGGAAGCTACATGAACAAATATTATTTTTTTTTATTTTTGACTTTTGTAGAAATATATATATATATATATATATATATACACAAATATTTTGTATCTAAAAGATAATAATGCTTCACCCAAATTTGTAGAAATTAAACATGCAAGAAGTAAAGAGCAGGAAAATAAAAAATGGAAAGAAAAAAAACAAGCACGCAAGAATTTTATAGTGGTTCGATCAACTTGATTTACATCCAACCCCCGAAGTCATCTCCAAATATTACACTAAATAGTTAGTAACTCTCCTTTAGTCCCCATAGCTAAGCGGAGACACTCTTACACAATCACTTTCACCCTCTTAAGGAGGCATAATAGCTCAATTACTTTCACCTTCCCCATTGTAACGGTGTAGTTGGCGGCCCATTGACACCAATAACTTCTTCATAGAGTTTTATTCAAGTCAAACCTTGACTCATTGAAGACAAAAGGTTGACGTTGACCAAAGCAACCGTGTGAAATTTTCTGTCACATTCCCGTACGCTCATAAGGATTTTTTCCTCTCTGTCAACTTTACATCTCCACCTCTTGCTCCAGACCCTCTCTTCAATGAAATCTAAGAATGGTAATTAGTAAAATAATTTTTAGGGAAAATTGCTTTGTGGATGTTTATCTTGTTTAATCAATAGAAAATTATGTTGTGTGTATTTTGTTTAGTTATTTTAGTATCATATTTAGATTTTATTTGAAAAAAGAAAAATAAGAATTTGTATTTGAAAAAAAATTATAAGCACACTAATTGACCTCCACTCATGGGTGTGACATCCCCTTCAGAATCTAAGGTAAAGAATCATCTCACTAACCCTAGCAACTTCGACAGACCATCATAATCATATTAGTTGACTCTAAATACACATAAATTGACACCTGCAGGCACTGTAAAAGGAACACCCTTATTTGATTAAATTAAGACTAAAGAGTGATTAGGTCAATTTACTACATACTATTTTTGGAGGGTTTTCTTTATGTATTTGTTACGATTGGGAACTGTCCTCGATGTACATGGAAAAGATGCAAGCTCAATTACAAGCTTTAGATTGATCCATTGAGCCAGCTAGATTGTTCGTGCATATCTAAACTGGTCCAACCATTCAGAGACACAGTGCAATTCACCAAATCTTTAGTTAATAGTTATCATTAATTTGACCATTTATCAGCATATATTCAATCAAACGAGTCAAATAAAAAAAAATTATTTGATCTATTCGAGAGCAACCTCTATGATCCTAGCAGTAACAATATGCCAAGCCAAAGCAAAAAATATATTGCTCTCACAAATAAGGGCATCACAATTGGCAGTGCTGTCGTTAAATAGCAGCAATTAGCATTTCAACACAACAAAGGATAAAAGCATTTGCAGGACAACTACATTTGTACATCGGATCCTGGGCAGCAATGGTTGTGTGGCAAAATTAGGCTTCATATGTACATTTTCCCCCCACTGGACAAAACCGAACTTACCGGAATTTAGAAGGATGCAAAACTACAAAATGCTAACAACTACTTCATTTCAAACTCCAAAGACTGCTAGTCCTGAATATCACATAATCAGCAGATTGGCATATTCCCGTAGTTCTACTAATGTGCCGGCCCTGCACAAGTGGTATAAAGCAAAAGAATGAATAAGAACACTACTGACTCATTGAAGCCCTCGCAGAAAAAAAAAAAGTTAAGAAAAAAATAAAAACAAATTATTTTTTTATCCACTGACCAAATTATGAATGTGATTCCTGTTATTTTTAACATCTTTATCTAAGCGATCAATCAAATTACTATAACATTGTATGTACTTATTATAATAATAGACATGATTACTGAAAGTCAAACTTCAGATACTAGTTATCAAAATCAATTAGCGTCCACAGTGGTACTTGAGTAAAACAAAACAACTCTCTTATCAATAAGTTATTAAATTCTTAATGATTTGGTTTGATCTTATGAAAATATAAAATACAAAGGTTTGATGGTTTATTTTAAGAACTTGACTGTTAGTTTTACTAGTATGGAAGGTTTCAATGGAATGTCCCTAAAGAGATTTGTCTAGTTTAATCTTTCTAACAATTGGTTCTACAACAATATTTTATTTTTATGGTTTTCAATATTATTTTTCTTCAAAAACTAGAGGCCATAAGTAATTCAAAGTTGCTATGCACAAACATGATAAAATACAAACATGGTAAATGTCATTGCATCTTTCAAATAGACCAATAAAACACGGTAGATTTTGTTAGACTGGCCCAGGATGGGCCGGTTGGACCGTTCCAGCAGGGACCGGTCCGCGTCTACGCGAGATGGAGCCTGGGCGGAAACGGCTCTGCTGTGAATCCACGTAGGCTTGAGAGGGGGAGTTTATGAGGGAAATTTCGAACGTGAAAGGCTGTTTTAGGAAGTTTATGATTGTCCTTTATGATTAATTTTGTATAATTAGGAGTTTGGGGGGAATTAGCTCCTCATCTTGAATTTGACTTTTTTCTTTGAGATCTAGGGTTTGCTTTGGGCTCTTGGCTTTGCCGGAGATCGTGGAGAGTTGTTCTTCCTCTCGGATTGAAGAACATATTGTATCTTTGCTGCTTTCTTTGATTTCTATTGAAAAACAAGTAATATCTTGTGTTTTTCTCCTGTTTTTCCATATTTCCTGCTGCGTTTTCATCGAATTCCTGCTGTTTTGCTGCTGTGGACAGCAGTTGGCTGCTGTATAGTTACTGGTTTGGGTTAGAAATACTTGAGAACTCAAGTATTTCCTATCAGATTTACAATAGGACATCAATCAAAACATGCCTCCTAGTCCAGGACACAACCATACTTTCTATTACATTACATAATGAGCTATGCTTTAGGTAGATGTCAAGCAATTTAGGGTCTATTTGGGACAACTTTATTACTGATTTCCTTTTCAGGCCATAAACATAGTTCTTTTTGGCTATAGCCTTCTCATTACTTTCAAGATATATAAATGTTAGAAAACAGTTTTTAACAGCAACTTAAAAAATAAAGTTACTTATCCCACTACAGATTTACATCCACCTTTGTGAAAAACTATAGCTGTCTCATACAAACTCTTTAACTATATTTCTTAACAGGTTTAATTCAATTATGTGCATGATGACTGAATTTTCCAATACCTTTTCCACCCTGCAAGAGGGGGAGAGGCCTGCAAGATAACATCATCTGGATCTTCGAGTAGTAAGAGATGTGTAAAGTGCAGAAAGTTAGCAAATTGTACTTGAGGAAAGAACAGAGAGAAAGTACATACCATCCCAGTGAGGTGATGGAAAAATCGGCCACGAGTGAAACAGGTGAAAACCTCCACCCATGTTCTGATAATCGTCACTTCCCCTAGATGATGTTATCTTCCTAGAAGACTCTATGATTGATTCCATGCTGATGGGTGATATCAATCTTGTGCAACCTGCTGTTTCTGTTGCCAGTTCAATTGTGAAATCCTGTGTTTTTGTAGTGGCACCGATATCGCTTTTAACATCAATCAAGAAGGAACCTGCAATCACCTGCTTAATAGAAGGATTAAATTTCTCGTAGAATAGTATGGTTATTATAGAAAGATAATGTGAATGCAGTACCTGCACTGGACCAGCAGCCATTAAAGGTCCCTCAACACCACCACCCACAATGCGACCATCTACACCAGAAAGGCATATACCTAGTCCACTAGTTCTTGAAACTGTACCGCCAGCTTTAGCATATATAAGTGCACCAGAAAGGGAAATGATATCGAACATACCCTGGAGAACGATATGTAAACTATTTTTATGATTTCTTTTGTAAGAAATTTCAACTCAATTGTTTAATCCTAACTACCTAAGCCGGACCTACTCTAGGAAATGTCATATTATCATTGCTATGTAGCTAAACCATAAAAATTTAGGCGTTTGCCATAACAGAAGCAATTTGAAGTTAATTCATTAAGATTTACCTCTTATTACCTGATGCTCGACTGTTGCTTTGGTGCTACTTACGCCCGTTAGCTTGCGGTTTTAGGATTTATCCAAAGCTTGCTAACTGCTTACCTATACACTTCATCCGTTGTGGCATGTCTGTCATGGTCTCTAGAAGGGCCTCGGGCTTCTGTTTCACAGGAAGTATACCATTTCTGTGGCTCTTCGAATTTATGTTGCTTCAAAATCGATTGAATTTGATATTTCTATGGAAAAGAATTGGGCGTATCTTGTACCAACCGTATATATTAGCCTAGGGATGACGAGATATGTAATAGAATTACTTTGGCCAAATTAAATTTCTACTTTCAATTTTAAATCTGATGTATGCAAGTTGGATGCATGAATCCTTCAAATATGGAACTATTGCCACAAATTACCGGAAAAGTCAACTTTAAAATCTTCTATCACTCTACCAATATGTCCATCTAAATCTTCCCCAATAAAAACTTTTTCTTTAAAATATCTTTTATATTAATATTTCTAAGTCAATTCAAAATGTTAATTTTGAACACATATTCAAAACCACTTGAGGAGCATAACTACTTATCATATTAATAATTTTAGAATAAATAATAATATTTAAAGCTATAATTCCATCTCAAATTCTATTAATTTCTATAATATAATCCTTAATACTCTTATTTATAATCACACAACACCATTTCTAGTGCAACTCCTACATGAATACCATAGCTTAAATCCTAAACTATCAATCTGCTTGGCTATCCTCTAACCCATTTAATTTCTTAAATGTGTAGGATATTTATCTTTTTATAAATCATAATATATATAAATTTAATTAATTTATTTGTAAGAAAATCAATATTCCAAGTTTTTATCCTAATTCTAGTTTAATGGAATAGCTTCCTTGCTCACATCCATCCATAATGTGGGAACTCTTACTTATTTAACATTGTATTCGGGCACCAGTGCAATGGCCTTTGCAAAATTCTTGTTGTATTCAGGCCATACTGCAATTCGCTTCCAGGAATCACCATAATATTAACGCAGTGTGGGTATCTTCTAACCTAGATAAAAAAATTTAAAAAAAAAATCTATTGTGGCATGTTTGTTACAGATTATAGAAAGGCATTAGGCAATTGTTTCATGGGAACTATATGTATTATATGGCATTAGAAATTTTGTTACATCAAATTTAGGTTTTACATCAAAAAAAAAAAAAGTTTGAATTTGATGATTATCTGAAAATAATTGGGTTGATCTTGTGCTTAAATAATTTTTTCTTTAAATTTTGCATATTATGTGTGCATGTTCAAAGAGCAATGCTTTTGAGTACTATAAAAGTGTGACTCTAATTATAAGGGCAAGTCATCTACTTTTCCATGTGTGAGATCTAATTTTTTTTTTAATTCGATGAATCTTTTCTTCTATCTAATTTCTCCATATATCTTATTACAAGCTTCCTAGTGTTACTAACTTTGTTCAAATTTGATACAATTGATATTATATTTGTAATGAATAAAATACAAAATGCTTGTTGATATTGGTAGTTAAATTTTCTTGTTGATTTCTTCATATAGATTTATTTAATCATATCATTTATCATTCTGCTTCTAATTCTCATAATTACAAAATTGCATCTTAAGAGAGTATGTTTTTGCATTTTTTCGTGGTATGTAAAATATGAATTCTAAGTTTCCTTGCATGAGATATATGCATTGCATTATTCTAGTTACATTAAAAAATCTTAACCCTAAACTATCATGCATCATTACCACAGCTTCAATGCGGAAGACATTACATCAACTGTTTCAAGAATGAATACAAGCTCATGATCATATTTCGTAATCTTAAAGCATAAAATAAAATGACCTAGTTTCATTATATAAAGCAGTGATTTGGAATGTAAGCAAATTATTGAAGATGAAATTTGGATTTCGAAAACATAACCAATTGAATAAAGCAAGCATTTAAACCAGTTAGCAAATAGATTTATATTATACAGCCATTATATTTATTAAAAATATATTCGTCGTGAAGCAGAATGGTATATCTAATCTAAAAACAACAACAACGTCATCAATTTTTTATCCGAAATATGTTGGACTGGCAACATGATATATTATTCAGAACAAATTTAAAATATAAAATTAAGAAATCCAGATAAGAATTTCATGTACGTGCTTACCTCATATGTTACATTGGTACTTGACGAAGCTGGCTGGCGGAAGGATGGATTCAAAATTGAACCAGTGGCAGAGAGAACACAAACTGCCCTCTTTCCTTTTTGCATCATCGAAACAAGTTTGTTGACCAGATCCTTAACATTTATCCAAACATCCCCAAGTTAGCGACAATGATGTCATTTAAGTAAATTAAATCTAATTAAACATAAAAAGAAGATAAAAATTGTCATATCATAAACATTTTTTGTTAATTAAGAACTATGATAATTAATTGCTTTGCATAACTTTCATTAAACACAAATTGGTTGGATAAAAAAAATCAATAAAATCCTAAAATAGTCCCTAAATTATTCTTGTATGGTCAATTTACTCCCAAAGTATCACGTTGCTCCAATTTAGTCCCTTCATAATATAAAATTGTTCCAAAATAATCCCTCATATTATAATTGTGATATAAAATTAATCTCAATTTAGTCCCTTGGCTTTACAAAATTGATCTCAATATTCCTAATGGGACTATTTTGGATCAGTTTTGCATAGTAGAACTAAATTGGAGCACCGTTATTACTCTAGGATTAAAATAATCATATCTAAATAGTCGTGCGGCTGCGGCGGCGGCGGCGGCGGCGGGGGTACAACTTTATAATTTAACCCAAAAAGAAGGCTAGGTGAATATGTGATCTTATTAGATATAAATCCTTTGTGACCTAATATTGATCTTGTGACTATGATCATACATTCATTATATATGCATGCATATTTCATACATGATGAAGGATGATGATGGACATAGCCATAGATTGTGCGGGCAATGGCATGGGCTATTACACATGGTTTTACATGGGAATAATAAATATTTATAGGTGATGTCATTATTGAGGAAATGAAGAGATATGCATAATTTGTTGGATGAATGTACCAATGTATTGAAGCGTGTGAAGAATCAACTCTATAAGGGAACCTATGTTTTTATGGCAAAGGCAAGGTTCCAATTGTATTTTTTTATTGTAATGTAGGATCCTGAAAATAATGATTAGTGAGTTATGGAGTTTAACTATTCTAAGAGGACATGTTTCTATGATGACTAGCCATGGCCTTACATAACGACCAGAGTTTATGTGGTTGGACTCATTAAAGACCATTTATCAATCCCCATAAAGTACCTAGGGTACTGGTGAAGTAATTGGATTAATAGTTTCCTAAACTACTAATTTCACAGCATGATTGTTGAGCATTGATCATCATTTGTTGAATGCCATCAAATGAATGTTTTGTAAAGGTAACTTAAATCATGCATCCTTTACATGAGTGGATAAATGATTCAGTTGAAATGAATGCCAATAGTTTGGAATCTTATTGGAACAAAATATGAAGGCTTAATATTCGGTAGTAACATATTTATACCTTTCATGTGTTATAATAAGTAATGTTGATAGATAATGATAAAAAGATAATCATGAGTATGTTTGTGACCTTAGTGGATGGAGGATAGTTAATTCCTATTTAGCTTCGTTTCATACTTATAATATTATACAAATGCCCATCATCACATTCAGTAATTAGAATTTTGATTAGATGACTGCATATCATATATAGGTTGCATGACAAAAACTTGTGCTTACTGATCTCAATCCCTACAGATGATAACGTTTTCCTCCAATCTCACCCACATCTCTAATCCTTTCTCCTAGCCTTTATAGTCCACAACACCATCTAAAATCACTACCAGAAGTTCTAAGCTAAAATAGGTTCTAATTGACTTAGTCTAGGTATTTCTCCATACAGAATCTTCAAAGCCTTTCTGAATCTCTTCCCTTAATTAAAAACAAACACCTCCCCACTTCATCTAACCTTTCCAAGACAATCTAACCTTTCCAAGACAATCTAACCCCTAAATGTCCCTTACACCCGTGACTACCTCTGCAAGTATCTATACGCAGGTGTCTTATAAGTTACGTTCGGGTCAAGCGGAAGGAGAATCCACTCCTCTCTTGGAAAAGACTATTCTAGGGACTTTCTCAAGAGCTACAAAGGAGCTTAACGCTAGAGCTCAACGGACCGGCACCAGTCACATTCTCCAGGCAATCATCCTCCCCCAAGGTGAGGACGACATCAGATGTTCCAACCTCAACCAAACAAATTTTTATCCATCAAATCAAGACTCAAGTCTCCCATGTGAGATACATCAAGCAGCCAACAACACACATCACTCTTATAGACATGTCTCACAACCAAGTCGATCCGAAGACCACATCAAGACGCTACTCACTCCTTTTCACCTCAACAAGCAACCTCTAGAATGGCTTTTCACTCTGCGACAACCCACTCCCCTGACCGCATTCAGATCCTAGTTGCCACTTCTCATCTCGACGAGGCCCACAAGTTCACTCAACTCACCCTTCTCAATCGTCATTCCCCTCAGCATCAACGGGCGAGTTATAATGCATATATTGATGGGACGGCCATTGTACCTACTACACACCTCCTTTATCATTCCAAACCCTATAAAAAGGGGGAGGGGCACCATAGAAAAGATTATTTTTTCCCTGGTGAGAGCCCCAAAAAAGAGTCTGAAGAAAAAGAGAGAACATGCATGAGAAGACACGAAGTGAATCACAGAATATTGTATCATTTTTCCTTTCTCAGTTCAAACCCCATAGTGCAGAGCTCTCACTTACAATATTCTTATACTTCTGGCTTGGATAATAAAGATATTGTCTAAATCCATATATCTCTCAAGCTTATCCTCTCTTAAACTCAAACTTCATTACCTTCTCCCCACAGACCCTCAGCTCACAAATAGCACGAAATATGATTCGCATCATCCACCGAACAAAACAGGATCCAACATCCTCTTAGGTGCAATGAGCATGGATTGATGCCAAAGGCCAGAAAATTGCTACCCACCAAGCAACCTGAGGCCCTTGGAGAATACAATGACCTTTAAGTACACCTCTCACTGTGAGCTGCAGAAATGGAGGAATGACTTCTAAAGTCTATACAGGATGCTCTCGCTTCCTCCACCCGTAAATGGTCATCCGATCATGGTACTCGTCACGAGCCTCCGGAGGAAGCTCATGCCTAAGATCCAGCCACTAACCTCGCTTGTCCCCAGGCGAGAGACGAGAACACCTCTCCGACAGTCCTACAGATCAAAGAAACTAAATCAAGGCCGACTAATGTCATTTCCAAACCAATCTCCGAAGTAAGAGTACCTCTCAAGTTCAAGGTACCTCACCTTGAAGCCTATCAATGCACAATTAATTATCATGTGACGACTTTCGAGTCTATGAATTCCCTCTTCAACATCAACGATGCCCTCCAGTGTCGTCTCTTTTTCACTACTATAAACGATTCAGCGTTAAGTTGGTTCACTTACCTAACTAGTGGGGTGATCACTTCCTTCACTGAGTTTAAATGGATGTTCATTACACGGTTCACTAATGCCAATAAACTTATTATTCGCTAGTTCTAATGATGAGACAAGAACCTGGCGAGTTAGTAAGAGGATTCATATTACGATTTGAAAAAGAAATGCTCAACATAAGAGATCTTGAGCCGGCAGTCACTCAACCAACCCTGACCCATGGATTAAGAGAGGTCCCTTATGGTATGCACTAGGCCTACAACAACCAAAGATAGTAGCAGAATTGTTGGGACTCGCCAACAGTAATATCAATGCTGAGGAATACAACCGAGTAACTGAATCCTCTGCAAACACTTTGTGTAATTATCTCGCCACAAAAAAGAATCCCCCCCCGACCCCTCAAGAGAATATGGCCTCAAGAGAAAAAGAACCAGGGGTCAAGGTTCTGGTGTAACCAGAGGCGCCCCAATCCATACGAAGCATCGGCATATCCTACACTTCTAATAGTAGGAACACCACCGGTACCAGGAACCAAAGAAGTACGTAGAAAGGTTGCTCACCGACCTTAGGAATATCCACGCAACTTATACTCTGTTGTGGGTATCCAAGGCTGAGCTCATCGAGCCTATCCAAAAGAAGAAATTTTTCAGTGGTCCACCACCTATGAAGATTGGCAGCACCCGAGATACGTCAAGGTACTGCGCATTCCGTAAGGATCATGGGCATGCCACTGAGGAATGTCATCACCTACGCAATTTGGTCGAAGAACTCATCAGAACAAGGAAGCTTACAGAATTCATGCTTGCTAACCCAGAATGATGACTATGAAAAACTCAAGTCGAAAAAGGCACAAATCAACCAAGGCCATCTCGATCAATCCATATTGTAGGGGCAGTACCCACAATCACAAGCAGCAATTGAAGAAATGCCCCCACACTTGCAAAGAAGCCGTGTATTGCAGAAGTCAATGCAGCAGCATACTCGCAATCCCTTACAACAGATTTATCACTTTCAACAATAGAGATGGGCTAGCCCCAAAACGAAACCATCGTCGTTACAGCCTTAATCGCCATCTATAAAATCGATAGCATTCTGATAGATACAGAGGTTCAGCAAACATAATCTTTAAGGCAAATTTTGACAAGATGAATATGCTCGCTTCTCAACTCGTCCCTACTATAGGACCCTTTTTTGGATTCTAAGGGGAATGAAGGGAGACTAGAGGAATAATCGTCTTACCAATCACCTGGGGCAAGGGAAAACACCAGTACATCATAATGACAAACTGTCATAGTCTACGCTCCTGCTACCTACAATGCAATATTTACCAAGCCACTACTGAATACTTTCAGAGTAGTAGTATCACCGTACCATGTCGCCTTCAAGTTTCAGGCCGAAGGAAAAGAAATCGCGTAAAAGACGACCTAGCCCAGTCATGCATTTACCATCTACGAGCGGTAGGTATGGCCGACACCTCTGCAACTATACATAAAATGAAGTCCAAGTCTTGAAGCAACCAAAGCCACCGAAGAAGTGCCTGTAATGGAAGGTGAACCAGGAAGATCTTTCATGATCAGCACCTTTAAAGGCAGAGAACATCGAGATGAGTTGAT